GGGAGAGACAAAGAGGAGCAGGAGGGCGAGGAAAGAAGGGAAGATGGGGGTAAGAAGGGGAGGGGGGCTGGGAGGAGAAGGCAGAAGGAGAAGAGAGCGGAGGTGGGGGGAGAAGAAAAGGGAAGATGGGGGAAAGAAAAGAGGAAGTTCAGGGGAGAAGGAAGGTGATGGAAGGGGAAGGAAGGAAAGAAGAAAAGGAAGGAAGAAGAGATTGAAAGGAGGGGGAGGGAGGGAGAAAAAAGAAAAACGGGAAGAAAGAATAGGGGAGACACTTGGCAGCCCAGAGGTATTAGAGCCCAGTAAGATTCAAGAAAGAGCAAGAGTTCACTCTCATACAGGGAAAGGGCTCCAAGCCCCGCCAAGTCAGCAGCCTTAATCACACCCGGGGCTTTGCCTAATTACAGGGTGAAAGCCAGGTCTGGAGGTAGGGAGATACTTAACTGTGTCCCAGGGAAGGCCGAGGGCAGGACGGGCTGTGAGGCTCTCTCCTCCACCCATGCCAACCCCTGAAAGCCTGGATCCAGGAGAAAAAGGCTGGGGGGCCCCTAAGAGCAGTGTTACACGTTCCCCTGGGTGAGGAGTCCACGCTAACAGGGCCACCCTCGGGCCTTCCTGAGTCCCCTCCCTAGAGGGCTGGGGCCCTCTGCACCCAAAGAGGTGATTCAATCCCAGTATCTCTGTTAATGAATTTAAAAAGTTCTCTTTTATTTCATTTGCTGGTTTTGGGTGCATTACATTTTCCACCGATTTGCAGAGAAGAAAGCAGCCAATAAACGTGGACAAAAGTGACCGCATCCCAGAGGGCAGAGAATGGGGGGAAAGCAAGATAAAAGTGATAGCCGGTCCCAGATTCCCAGGCAGAGGACCGAGCGGGGGCTGCTGGAGGAATCTCAATGGGCCATCACCCTTCTTAGCCGGCCTCCCATTAGTACTAACTCACTCAAGACAATAGCAAAAGCACTAAAAGTGTTTTTCTTATGCTAATGTTGAAACCCAGCACTCAGTTAAAACACACTTCCCAGAAACCTGCCTCTTTAAAACACACATGTGAAACGCACACCGAAGAAAAACAACCCCACATGAATTCCTTCTATTTAAACCCAAGTCTCAAAAAACATTTTAATGGGTACTGTCTGGTCACATCTTAAGAGAGTTATTTCCCGGCACATGTATGTGATTTAAGAAGCCAGGGGGTCGGGGGGAGCTAAGAAGAAACATTACGACTTCTCCAAGTTGTTGGAAGAATCTGGACAATAAGCCACACAAGCCTGGACTGTCACCTCCCCTGTGTTTTCCCAGGATTTTAGATACTTAAGTGACTTAGGGACACTTTCGTGGTCCTCAAAAATCTCAGAACAATGACCAAAGTTCTCATTTTCCAAGTCATTTATATTTTCCACAAGCCCTGGAATTGGGGGGTTGGGGGGGGGCGGTCATGATTAGTACTGAATGTGGCGGTGTGTTTATTTGGAAGCCAGGGAAGCATCTAGAGGGTGGCCTTCTAGGGTCCTGTCTGTCAGACGCCAGTGCTGCTGGCCTCGTCCCATACCTGCCTTTAGCAAACGGTTTCAGAGTACTCGTTCCCTTCCCCCAAGTTCTCTAAAAGTGAGAGCAAGTTGTGTGCACTGGATCTGGGTAGTCAGGCTGTAGATCCAATCATGAATTCAGCCTCTCTGGATGCTCTAGAATCCGAGAACATGGTCTTTCTCTAGTTGGCATTCTTCACGTGTCCACGCCTCTGACGCTTGGTGAAAAGAAGAAAGGAGGGAACAGCTTCCCTGGGGTTCCCTTTCAAAGGGCCCGGGCCAGCTGCTGCAGCTGTCCACAGTGAGGTCCACCTAGCTGGGGCCCCTGACGGGCCAGTTAACAGGCACTGTACAGGTAGACCTCCCACCCGCAGCCTAAAGATGCGGGGCAGCTTGGCCCCACCCCGCTCCTTGCTGTTTGTACCAGAAAAGGCCAGCTGCACCCACAAGGGTTTTGGACTCTTGTTTTTTTGAGCTTTAACAAGGCAGCTGGGTGTGAGGGGTCAGGGCAGCTTTCACAGTGCATACAACAACCACCTCACGGTCTCATTGAAAGGGCATGGCTAGGGTCTGGGCACTGAAGTTTTCCGGGAGGAGAAGGGTACTTAGTGTAGGCAAATATCCAATTTTGTCTGCCCGCTTGCTGACTGTCCCGGATTCACTAATCCAGCCCCAGGGGCTGCACTGTGTACAGGGCTCTTGTAGGAGCACAAAAAACGAGTGAAGTATTTGTGTATTCTTCAGTCTGCAGTGCAAACAAGGCAGCTACACACACAGCCCCTGAGACCCCCACAGCAACTAGGAAATGAGCCTGTGATCAGTAACCCCACGGGCCCCTCTTAGGACTGAGCACTTCAAAAGGGCAGCCCCTCTCAGGGCTCAATGCTCAATGTGCTCCCAAGGCCAGAAGGCCAGAGAGGAACATCTTGACAAAGTGGAGCATCGTGGCTAACGCCGTACGAACTTAAAGGTGGTCCTACTTCCAAGGCCTGGTTTGAGTTTGGGAGGAGACCTCAGTGAGTCTGAATTCTGTTCAAATTCCCACCGCATCAGTTCCCTCTTAGGTGGGAACAGAAACGGATTCATCAATATGGCAGTCCCACTAGTTCCTGGATGAGCCCAGCCCTGGGTGGACAGGGGTTTGCTCCCTGTCAGCCTCACTCTCAGGCACAGGACTAAGGCAAGAGTGGATCTCCTACGGGGCTCCCTCCTACACAGGCCCTTCCTGTGTGTTACTTTAAGCCCCCTACAATCAGGAAACACCTCATGGCATTTGGGGGGACATACAAAACCACTCTAAATCTTCCTAAATATAATTAACTTAAAAATTCACCAAACGAGACAATTTTCCACAGGGCAGCATCTGAATACAAATTGTATCCGGAAGAGGCTGGTTCCAACTCATGGAACCCTCCAGAGAGAAGCTGCAAGTTCCAGAAAGCGAAAGCAAGATGAAGAGATTTCAAGAAGGGAAGCCTTTGGCAGGAGGGGTCTGCATGGCCTGGATTAGCCATTCTGGGATCAGCGCCCCAGGACAGAACAGAAGCTGGGAGAACGAGAGCCACCAAACCCAAAGCAAACAAGCATCAGAACGTCTGCCCCATGTTAGGGAGACCAATCCAGGTAGGAACACAATGTATTCCCTCCTCCGCTCCAGACCGACCGAGCTCTTTCAGGGGCCGCTCCCAGGCCGGGCGGGGCTAGTCCCTAGACACACGGAAGCCTTCTCAACAGGGGAAACCGCAGCCAAGGTGAGGAAATGGGCGGGGAGGGGGCTCGAAGGAGAGGTGGCTAGAACAAACAGATAGCATCAGGGAGACTTGTGACAAGCCCGCCTATTCCGCCCGCTATCCCCCCGTGCTGTATATTTTGGATTTCACAGTTTATTTACTTTACTTTTTTGGCACCGAGCCCCCGGAGCATGCCAATACAATATTTGTTTAAACACTATTTTATGCCGCTTGCGAGGGAAACGTTTACTTTCAAATTCTCCAACATCCCCCAGAGCCTCGTCTGCAAACAGCATTTGAGCATTTTACAACTGTTCTCTTTATCTGAAGCTGTGAGGATTAAACCTTCACACGCCCAGCGCGAGGGCGGAGGGGCAGGGGGCCAGGACACCGTGCGGCCACCGAACTGCAAAGCTCTCCCCAAGATGAAGGATGCCCTAACTGGGGAACAGAGGGGTATAGACCCCACCCCCTCCCAGACTCTGAAGGATCAGACTACCAAGAAAAGTCTTTCCTAACCCTGCTCCAACTGGGATCAGCCCTAGGAACCACAGGACAGTTACACAAAAGAGAGAGCCAGGGTGGAGAGGCGCCCTGGGGGGTCCCCCACAACCTCGATGCGCTTCTGTGGCCGGGTCACTCGAGGTGAGGCTCAGGGGCTCCATCCTCAGCTTCCCCAAGCTCTAAAAGTCACGTTTCCTAGGAAGTGAGAGCAATTACTGCCAGGCTGAAAAGAAGCAGAGTTGAGTGGACTTTTAGCTCCCAGCGCGGCCGGAGCCCTCTCGAACTCACTCAACCACACGGTCCCTTCCCCCTATCCCGGGGAGGAAAAAAAAAAAAAAAAAACGCTCCCCTCTCTCTAAACCCTTAATAGGATTGGCGCCCAACTCTGTCCGCGCCGCTCCTCATCCATCACACACAGATCAAGTTGCAGTAGTGGATTTTTCAAATTCCTCAGCAAATATACTTGTTGAGAGATTGCTTGGGGGTGTGCTACGTGGGGGCGAGGATGAAAGTGAGGAGCAGGGGGAACCGATCCCTCGGCAAAGGATTACGCGTGGATCTACTCGGAAAGTCAAGAGGATCTGGGGACCTAGGGTAGGAGAGGAAAGTAAAGAAGCCAGAACTAAGGCCCAGAGTAGAGACTGGCGGCGGGGGGAAGGGGTAACAGGCTCAAAGAAGGGGAAGAAGGAGAGAGAGAGAAAGAAAGAAAAGACTGAGCTCCAGAACGCGGACTAGCAGCGTGGAGACGTGGAGTTGCAAATTCCCAAGTGGCGGGCGGCGGCGGCGGCGGCAGCACACCGCACACTCCCGCAGGCGCGCTCCCAGCTGCCCATCTAAGGGAGCTTCGGAGCATCCCAACCCCCACGCCGCCCCCAAACAGTTCCAGGCTGAGTGCCGTGCCACCGGTCAAAGAACGGCCTACCCGAGCAACCCAAGAAGAGCAAGAGACATTTTCCCCTCAGGTGGAGGACAACAGTATAAAATCGACCCCCGGCCACAAGTTCTGAGCCCCAAGATCCTCCTTAAGCCCTGCCGCTGCTGGACCAGAGCAACAATCACGGTTGTCCTCTCTGCCCCCCATTAAATCGGTGTCACGATCTCGATTCCGGTAACCGGCCGAGAGACACTCCGAAGACCTCACAGCATCTCAGCCGAGGTTGGCCGGGCTAGGAAGTGCTTCGCCACCACGAGCAAGAAATTTTAAAAAATGAGGGTGGGGGAAAGGCCAATGCAACTTTACCGAGGAGACAAAAGTTTGCCTCTAGCACGCAGGTGGCCTCTCGGGCGCCGGGCAGTGGTTGCAGGGCCCCATCCCAACTTGGCTGGCGCGGGGCTGCTGAGTGCCGGGGCTCAGGCCGCCGGGGCGGGGCTGAGCAGGCAGAGGAGGGCACCAAGGCGGGCGGGGGACCCCGGCAGTCCCTAAGGACGCGGAGCCAGCAGCTCTGGGCGGCTGCGATGCGACGCGCGGCCCACGCTCCTTCCCCTGGCTCCTCCTCGCCTTCCTCCGCGTCCTCTGTAGCCGCCGCCGCCGCCTCCCGCTCCTCCTAGAAGTCTCATTGATGAGAGGAGTTTGAAAAAAAGTCCGCGGAGCGGTGCTGCCTCGGCTGGCGAACGCCGGCACTCCTGCAATCCATCAGCGTCTCCGGGATGGCGCAGCGCCCCCGCGCGCTGAGCTTGGGCACACCCCGGTCGTCGCGTCCCCAGCCTGCCCGCCCCCGCCGCGTGCACCCCGCCCCTGGAGATGGGGGGGGGGACGACGATAGACACCACCCTGGAGGGAATAGCCCCGAGCGAACACAGACTCTCCTCCACCTCAGCTCTGAGTAAAGAAAGCACCCCTCCTGGAAAGTTCCATCAGGGGACCAGAGAACGCTGGGAGTTGGGGACGGGAGCAGGGGTTCGGGAAGGGGTGGGGGGTGGGGTGGGCAGACACCGAACGACCCAGACTCCACTCTTGAGGAGAGTAGCTGGGAATATCGCAGATTCCTCCACCCCAGTTCGGGAGAAATAAAGCACCCCTACTGGAAAGTTCCAGCTAGGGGACCAGAGCACACGCCAGTCGCCAACACTTTTTCTAAGGCGCCGGGGTGGGGGGTTGCTAACTCAAGTCAGATGAGCTCCGGAGCTCAGGCGCTGCCACTGCTGGTTTCAATATCTGAATTCCCCCTTCCCTCCCACCCCCCTCAGCCCTCCGCTGGTTGTTCCCAAAACTCCCGGCTCCTCCGAGAGCCGTGGCAGAGGGAAGACACGTGGATGGGAAGCAGGACTGGATCCACGCGGGCCCTCTTTGCTCGGGTAGCTAGTACAGGTGCCCGGGGTCCCAGGCGCCCCTCGTTGTGGCTCGCTCACGCCGCCATCTGAGAGCACGTTGGCAACAAGTGATGCAAGCGTTAGGCTTGCTGCATATGTTGTATAGCGAGGGGGGTTTGTTTTATTTTTTCAGGGACTCTGCTGGAGCTGCTGCAGCCAGATGGAAGTAATCAGAACTCAACAACAGAGGGAGACGGGAGAAACAGGCTCACTGAAGTCGCAGGCCAAAGTGTAGATGAGGCTTTGCATGAAAGCGTTTGCTTAAGTAGCCCTGGGCCTTCCATACAGTCCAGGACTGTCCATTCCAATAAGCAAGTGGCAGCTAATGCATGTGCCCTCCCAACCCATGGGGCTCGGCTTCCTCTCGGGGGCTCTGGGCTGCTCCTAGAAAGCTGCCTGTGGGTCTTACTTAACATCTCTTCCTTATGTTTGTGTTCTAGCTCCTCTGTATTATTTAACCTCTGCCATAGACAGGGTCTCCTTCCCTTTTTAAAGGTGGGGAGGCTGGTGCCTGAGGACACCACAAAACTTGCCCGCAGGTCCAAGGCCCGAGTCACTAATGTGAGGTTAGGACAGATGTGCCTTGTGGGGGTGTTGGTAGCATCTCCTTCCAGCCCCTCTTCCTGTCTGGAAGGCGAGGGGACTAAGACTCCAGGCCGATTCCACCCTGCCTAGCTGGGTCCTTCACACCCAGTTTTACTCACCGAATCCCTTTTGGTGGATGGCACAATTTATGCCTTGGGCTCTCCCTTAGCTTTATCTATTTGTTTGTTTCTGAAAGTCAGTATTTGCTGACTTTCTGGGATAGGACCCAAGGCCACCCAAATGCTACGTATACTCTCCCTCCAAGGTCTACTTCCAAACCCCTGAATTTTACATTTTTCTATATTTAAAATTTCTATCGCATTTATTTATTTTGTGAGGTCACAGCCCCCTGGCAGCAGTCAGAGGGCAAAAGGGAACTGTTTCCCTCCTTCCGTCACGCGGGTCCTGAGAATCCAGCTCAGGCTTGGCAGCAAGGACCTTTGTTGGTCCAGGCATCTCACCGGCCTAGATTTTCACTTGTTAACAAAAAGGGAAGTCTTATGGCCCCATTCTGCCTTTCTTGTTGCCTTCTGTCTTTCTTTTTCCCTCACGTGAGAGAGCCAACAATTTCTTCTTGACCTAGAGAGGAAAAAAAATGCAGGAAACACTACAAAAGTTTGATATAATTTCATTTTCCTCAAGGTAGGCGTCCCAGACTAGAAGTGGCAGCGGGGGTGGGGTGGGGGTGGGGGGCCGGGCGGCAACATGCTCAAGCAAAAAACCTTTTGGGCTGGTGTGGTGATATGTGCTGTTAGATGATAAAGCTTTTCCTGGGGAGACGAAACACACACATCTGCTTGCCCCAGGTAGGGAGCCCACGACAGACCAAAGTACAGAAATCACCGAAGTCCAACTTGGTGAACCAATGAGTTGTATTGGCCACTTACAGGAGCAGAAATGACTCAATGCAGCTGCATCACCGAGGCCCACTCCAGCATGGCTGACAGGTCACAGAGCTGGGAGAGTTCACCACACAGCCAGCACGCTCAGCAGGTTGGAGAGCGTCCTTTCCAAGTGACTCTGGTCTAAGCCTCTTCCAGGCAGCCTAGCTGGTTTCTGCCTCTTCTGAGCAGCAGGTCTGGTCTGAGTCTCCTGTGCAGCTCAGTTCCTCAGAGGGACTCTCAGCTTTTATTTACTCTGTCAGGAAGGGTTCTAGTAAATCTGGTCAGTTCCAGGGATTTCCTGAAGCTATTTTGAGTTATTTTCCTCCCTGCTTAAAGAGCTTCCTTTTCCATCTGGGAGGAAACCTAAATTATGCGACACATGCCTTCAATCCTAGGACTCCAGAGGCAGGCAGATAGATCTCTGAGAGCGAGAGGCCACCCTGGTCTACATTGCCAGTTCCAGGCCAGCCAGGGTCACATAGTGAGACCCTGTCTTTAAAAAAAAAAAAGAAAGAAAGAAGTTAGGGCAGTGGTGGCGCACACCTTTAATCCCAGCACTCGGAAGGCAGAGGCAGGTGGATCTCTGTGAGTTCAAGGCCAGCCTGGTCTACAGAGCGAGATCCAGGACAGGCACCAAAACTACAGAGAGAAACCCTGTCTTGAAAAAACCAAAATAAATAAATAAATAAATAAATAAATAAATAAATAAATAAATAAATAAATAAATAAAAGAAACTTGCAGAAGTCAATGTACACCACGTAGGATGAAGGGCCATGGAGATGCAGAGGGTAAGGCACTTGCTATGGATCTACTCTGACCTGACTGGCTCCCTGGAACTCACGTAAGTGACAGAGAGGACAGACTCTAACAGATCGTTCTCTGACCTCTACATCTGATCTTTACACAAATCCATGTAAAGAAGAGAACAAGACAGTGATGTCTGAAAGAGGCTTTTCCCGTCAAACGTCAGAATATCCGACCGGGCACTCCTCCCGGATGCTTGCTGGCTTCCTGCTGAGCTTTCAGAACACAGACATGAAGGAGACAGAAAAAGGGAACCCTCTCCCTCCCTTGGCTGTGTTTAATGACCCCATCCATATCTGCCCTGTGAAGCCAGGACTTATTCCTCCTGGCTGGAATATTAGCGGAGTCAGCTGATTACTTCATTACCAGCTTGTCTCTCTTGGTTTCTTTGTGTTGTAAAGTTTGTGGAGAAGTTTAAACAAATCAACATTTGGAGAGACTGCTTTTTCTCTGTTTTTCTTCTCAGATCGGTTCAGCTCCTGCTGGAATCCAGGCATTCACAAAGCCTCTCTGGCTTATTTTGGCAAGAAGGTGGCCGTGGAGGTGAAGATGGAATGTTTGGGGTTTGAAGGAAGCTGTGCAAACATCACATCCTACTCTCTCTACTTTATCCATTTTGTATAGGTGTGTGTGTGTGTGTGTGTGTGTGTGTGTGTGTGTGTGTGTGTG